GAATCAAATTCCTCTCTGACTTCTTTGAATCTCCAGAGGAATCAAATTGGAGATACAGGAGCAACAGCTTTGGCAAAAGCTCTAGAATTAAATTCTATTTTGACTCTTGGATTATAAAATTAAGTTCTACTTAAATTTTTTGAAGCTACCATTTTTCAGAGATCCTTGTCTTATACAAGAGGAGCAAGAGTAGAGAGAAGACAGTCTTCTATGAGTTATGATGCTTGAGGCAAGAAGATAGTGATTTAATATGGAGATAATTGGCATGCCATATTCATTATTATCAGGTTAGACATTTTTGTTGCAGATTGTCCACTAATACTAAATTGACAAAATGTAAATTCAACATTTAAATAAAAAAATGAAATGCTTCTTCACTTTAGGTACTTGCAAGTGAATTTATTACATTCAGTGCCCTTACAAAAATGTGTTCCCTCAGATTTAATGTTAAAAGTAGCCAGCATGTAAAGTAATTTGTGCGCATATTGTTACGGCGAGCTGATCTGGTAAATCAGTAAGTAAGTCACATGGTAAAATCGACAATTAATTTTAGCGATAATAATAACCGCCGTTTCGTATTTTGGGCATCAGTACCAGCACCACAAGTTAAATGGTTCTTGGAAAATTTCTATGCTGAAAACTTCTGTTTCGATTTTTGGGAATCACTAGTTATATAAGCAGCCCTTATTCCATCGTTAAATTCTCATGTTGTTCATATTATTTCCTATTCCACGAAATAAAATATCAAATAAACGATTCCCTTTGAAATCGAAATTTTACTTTCTTTTATCATTGTAATATTAATTATTTAACCGGATATTAATAAACGGCTCTTCCAAGCTGTAAAAACGGCTCACTTAAGCTGTATGAATTATCCGTTAATCTAGTACTCTTAATTGAGGGACAAGAGTTATTAATTATTATTTAAACGAATATTGTTTAATTAGTTTGAGAAAAGTAACAGAATTTGACTAATCAAAACACCAAATCGAAGATAGCCCTGTTTAATATTAAATAGAATTTATTCCGCAGTAGAATAATTGTTGTTGTTATTTTATTGTGGGTACCCTTATTTGGAATCACGAGTGATTTGAAGCTCGGATAGGGAGTTGAGAAGTGCGCATTAATTTAATTATATAAATAGGTCACTTGTAGATTAGAATTCAGTCTTAATTGAACAACTACCGTAATAAGGGCGGTAGCACGAAGATAATTATAATCTGGTAATAACCCCGGTCGGAAGAACACCCCTACGCGAAAGATTAATTGCTTTCCCAGACAATATAAATATTATGCGAAAAAGAAAGTTTATATCAAAAGTTAAAACTCTAGTTATAACGCAACTCAAAGAAGCTATTTTAATGCATTTTTAGTATGGTTGTCATAAGCTGTCAGTTCTTTGGTTAACAGTCAACCCTTCATAAATAGACCATCTACATGTTTTTTCCCTACTTCCCTAAATACATGCCATGTGATTTTTATAGTAACATTGTGTTATTTATGTCAGTAAATAATGAGCGTTGTTGGCATGCCTGAAAGAAATTCAACAAAGACATCGATTTCTATCAGGCCAAGTGAATCTTGATCGTTAAACCCGAATCTTTGTATTAATTTCAGTATAGATAATAAATAAAGACTTACCTGATCATTGTGGAGCATTACATTGTTCAAATTGTTATGATGATGCAGAAGCCACCGATAGTTAATATCAACGATGCTGTAGATGGCTTAGAAAATCGTTCATTCTGCAGCAACAAGACTCTAAAAGGTTCTAAATCATGTGAGTCTGCTTGAACGTTACATTAGCTTAAAATAATACATATGTTGGGCATCATAAATACGCTAATACTTTTATCGAGTTGCATTAACCAATACAATGCACGCTCCGACTCATGTGCACCTATGGAGGATCAACAGTCTTTTACCTGATATTAAACTATCTTTAATTGGGACAAAACGTCTTCGTTTTTTGTTTTTTGTTTTTTGTTTTTTGTTTTTTTTTTTTGCAACTATTGCAGTACGGCATAATTAGAGTCAGAAAATACGCTAAAGCTTCGATATATCAATATTCTTAATACATATTAGTTAGTGCATTATCATAATATCTGACAACCAATTTATTTATTTCCGCTGCTTTGAAGTTCACGTGACGCTATCAATTATTTGATAAATCATACGATACTTAGTTTCTGTCTGTTCAAATTTGTTTTCCTTATATAAAACAATCTATAAAGAAACAAGAATATAATTTGTAGAACGCACAAGTGTCTGTGCTGCATGTTGATTGGCTGACAACCAAGCATTAACCTTTTTAGAAATTAATTTAACTGAAAAAAGCATAAATAAAACTGAAAAAACTGAACCCATAACTACGCCAAACTCACTGAATTAAAAAAAAAAAAAAAGGAGCTGTAGTCAATAAGCCCTCCACAAAGAATTTATCAATATTTTGCTAGTAACAATAGCATTAATGTTAATTTATTGATAAGAGAACACCTCTATAATAGAACATAATCTGGGTGTCCCAACTTTGTTCTTTTGTGGAGGTTCGACTGTAATGGTAAAAAGAGACGAAAGTCAAGCCAGAATTATTCACCTTTAACAAGTTCCAACTGATTTGGTACAAGTATGGCAGCAATTTTGTGCAATATAGCGGATTAAAACGACTATAATTTCATACATATTACTCAAGCTGTTTGGTTCTTTCCATCCAACTTAGTACTATATTATGATTATCATCGATCTCTCTTTTACTATATTTTAATTTATATATTCAGCAACGCCCCGAACTACCCCATACTCACTTTAATGGCTTGAAACCTTTTTTTGTGATACTTAAAACACTCCACGATACACAACGCACTTTACAAGTCTGCATAAATACTAATTAACAGGTAACAAGCTGTTGGAAGAATAGAGGCTATTCATCGCTGACAATTAATAAAAAAATAGTATCGACCTAAACATCTATAAGCATAAGTAATTATGCTAAATACATCTGATGCAGATTACATTATATTGTGTTTCGCTCCCTCAGTCATTTACCATAAGGTTCAAGCCCGCACAATGTTATTTTCTTGGCAAAAAATCATTTTCTTGGCGGGGTATTTCAGTGTTGGACAGCATGCTCAACATCGCAAATCGGCACGTCTAAATATCACACCAATAAGCGACATTGTTTACGTGATGTTATCGAAATAACACGTTCCATGAACAGTATTCTTTTTAGTGGCGCAGTTGCCGTTTAAGGCAAATGAATATATATCGCGCATCGATCATTTGTAGTCTATCTTATAATTATAAAAATAATTATATACGCTAACCCAAATTTTCGCCTAAAACTAACTCACGTATCTCGAGTGACAGCGAGCTTCGGTCCCAAACACATCTCAGTAAGTTCAAATAAATTACTTGGAACTCTTTCACAGATACACAAAGATTAAAAGTAAAATACTTGTCCCATTGTTTTTTGGGTATTGTAAACAGTTCTGGAGTGGTGTTGTGTGCGGGCAGTTTAAAAACAATGCTGGCGAGTGAGTAGATCTATTACCTTATGGCTATTTTGTTGGAATTAGAGATCAGATCATGAAGAGTATATATGTTGGTTATAACCAAAAGCCATAATGTTTGTATTTTAACAGTGTATAGTAATAATCATAATGATGAAAATGAACCCCCAAGGCAGGCTTTCTTTCCGGTAAGAGAACAAAGACGTTCCTATGAAATTCAAACACTAGTTTCAATGATTTGTATACCTTTTTTTTAAAAAAAAAATTGCCTCATTCTCACAATTCTAGCGTCGCTACCGCTTCTTGATCCGCATAATCTTCCCTCTTATTGCCGTCTACCTCTTATATCTAATTGTCTACCGTCCTGAAAACTGGATACCGAATACATCCACAGAATTTCCTTCACCCCTTCCTCATGGCTCGGACGTAAACTGGCTCAACCGACAGCAACAAGTCCGCAAAGCATTCCAACACGCATGGTCCGCATACGAACGTGACGCATGGGGCTGCGATGAATATCACCCCATCTCGCAACGTGGATCCAATCTGACCACACAAGGAATAGGATTCACAATCGTTGATTCATTAGATACGTTATTTCTCATGAATCTGACGGACGAATTTCGTCGAGCTAGAGATTGGGTTGCGAACGAATTGGACTTTGACATTGATGGGGAAGTAAACTTGTTCGAGACTACCATTCGTGTGCTTGGTGGTTTATTGTCTACGTATAATCTTTCTGGAGACATGGAGTTCTTGTCGAAAGCAGTCGATTTGGCCGATCGTCTTCTTGGTGCTTTCTTGTCACCTACGGCAATACCCTATGCGTCTGTGAATCTGCGCCGTAAAAGTGGCATCCAGGCCCATTTTGCTTCCGGAGCTAGCTCTACGTCAGAGGTTACGACGTTGCAATTGGAATTTAAATATTTGAGTTATCTGACTGGTGATGAGAAGTACTGGAAGAAGGTTGAAGAAACGATTTTTAAGATTGATTCCTTGGAGCGAGTTGATGGACTGGTACCTATCTATATAAGGCATGTTTCGGTGAGCGAGAGTTTGGATAAGTGGAGAGACAGTCAGGCATGATGAGAAACATGTAGCTAAATAGATTATATTTTTGCTTTTCTTAGTCCAAATGATGGTTTATTCTGGGGCAGTAGGATCACACTCGGCGCCCGTGGAGACAGTTACTATGGTAATTAAAGAATTGAAAATGCCATTGTTTGCACTGATCAATTATATCCAAGATTCTACTTATTATTTTTTTCACTCTACATTCCACAAGAATACCTACTTAAACAATATATTCAAACATCCCGTACGGAACCAATGTATCGACGCATGTACGATCAAGCCATGCAAGGCGTGAAAACCCGTCTCGTTAATTATTCTCTACCATCCAAACTCTTGTTTGTTGGTGAACTACTCCACCCAACCAGTACTTCTATAATACCGAAAATGGACCACCTCGTTTGCTTTCTCGGTGGCAGTCTTGCATTGGGCGCAACGGAAGGCCGTACAATTAGGTCTAAAGAAGACTACAGCGCGTTGTCAAAAAATTCAAGAGAGGATTTACGGATCGGGACAGAATTGACAAAGTCGTGTGCACAAATGTATTTTACTACTGCTACAGGGCTGGCCCCGGAGATCGTTTATTTTAACACGGACAAGACGTCCATGGATGATTTGAATATAAAACCTATGGATAGTCATAGTTTGCTTAGGCCGGAGACCGTCGAGAGCTTATTCATTTTGTGGAGGATTACCAGGAACGTAAAGTACAGGTGAGTGGAGCCTGAAATCGAAGCGCGCGAATGAATTCAAGCTTTTGATTCGCATGCCGCTAGTGCAAACGAGTTAAATTCATTAAAGATTCTTATATACTCATTATTCTTATCTTACATTTTGGTGCATGAAAACGTTCTCGTATGCATTCAGGCACTGGGGCTGGAAGATATTTGAGGCTTTTGAAAAATACGCTAAACACGAGAAAGGAGGATACACATCACTTGATGATGTTACTACTATACCGCCCGGCAGACGAGACAAAATGGAAACATTTTGGCTGGTGAGTGTTTAAGGGGTGGATTTTTGATCCTCGTAGTAAGGGAGATTGAGTTTGCGAATTGACCTATTTCTCCTTTTCTGTCGTCCTTTCACATAGGCCGAGACGCTTAAATATCTATACCTTCTATTTGATGATACGGACGTGCTACCATTGGATAAATACGTATTTAACACGGAAGCACATCCTCTACCTATATTCATGCCATCTGAAGAAGTCCGAGGAGCTGGATGGAGTAGAAGTTAAGATAGTCGACTCGAATGAGTAGAGAGTTGAAGGCCATTTATTGTAAAATAATAAATTTTAGAGTAAATTATACCTAATAACAACATGGAACGGATGATAAAATAACTGTTGTCAGGAGAAGAAATAAGAATTTGATCGAGTTCGAAAGGTTTTTCTTTTAAAGATTGGCACCAGAATGCCATTAAATTTAGATGAGTGATTATATTTTGGAAATTTTACATTGTTTCTAGTACCATTTTATTCTAAATACACTACAGTCACATAATTTTCCTAATTTCTAAGCCTACCATCCTAACTATCTACTGACATTGTCCGTAATCATATTTGTTCCCATCTGCTCTCCTATCAACTCATTGCTCATTTTTTGAACATCATCCAAGTCCTTTTGCACTGTTTCAATTACATGGGCAATGCCTGTTTGTTCCTCAGTGAGCACCTATAAAGACGTAAAAATGGCGAGATTAGTTTCGATTTCATATGAACATCGGTTTGATAGTTTTTCAAAGCAAAAATGAACAGAGATTTTCCACTAGTGGACACTCTATCTCTTGTAGCATTTTTCCAACATACAACGCCAAATATGTGAATTTGGACTACTCAGCCACTTTACTCCAGAAATTCCTTTTACGACACTTACCTTAACGAGTGCTTCCATCTCTCTCTCATCAACAACTTCGTATTTCTGCTTGATTCCACCACTCGGCATCATCTGTGTTTTCATGATACTACACTGCATCTTCAGCTGTGACACTTTCTGACTTGGGCCTTTGAGGTCGTGATTGAGCTTCTCGACTTCTGCTTGGAGCTGTTGTTCTTCAACTGAGACTGGCGTGTTCCGAAGGTGTTTTAGTTGAAGCTTTATCATTAACTAATTATGATTGTGAGAATAGAGGATATTTGATGAGTATGGCATAAATCATCAGACAACCACATATTATCAACATACCGATATAATCCGTTGTGTGAGTTGCATATACTTCCGCTTATAATTCTCCAAAGTGATTAATGTCTGTAAATTATGTGTTTCTTCCATTTGATCGATTTCTTTGCCCAATTTCTACAAAACAAGCCACAAATTTCCAGAGTCAAACAACACGAAAACAAAAAATAGTTTGCTTAATTAGACAGTACATAAGCCATTCTCTTACATCAATAGTAGCTTTACAAGTTGTTGCTGCAGATTCTTGATGTGCTAAACGTTTTTGTAAGTCTTCAAAATTTGTCATTAAGGCGGGAACTAAACTGGGGAGCCAAATGTCGGAAACGGTGTAAAAGGTAATGGTTGAAATGTTTAGACGTATCATTATGCATATCTCTCCACTAATTAACAATCCTTTCACATGTTACTCGACTTACCATGTCCTATCGGGATTGTTTGCTTGCGCTTCGTCCCATAGTTTTCGTGGTCTATCTGTCGGCGGAATATGTTGAGCAGCTTCATTTGGATGGACCATATTATAGAGATATGTCTACAAAACAGGATTGTCAATGATAAATAACAATAATTCTAAATAATGACAGCAAATTCTGGGATATCAACATAGCAGTATTCATAATCCATAAATGATAGTCTTGATATCAAATTACAATCTACCTCTTTCACACCAAACTACATACTTGGAACTTGGACTCGGGATTTTTGGGATCCCATGAATTAATTATTGATCGAAGTTGTTCATATACAGTCTGTGGTTGTTGAACTAAAAAAAAAGGAATCAAATTAGAAGGTATATAGGAAAACTGACATAAAAAATATCAAATTGTATATTTAAGTATAGGCATTGGCAAGCATTTGGTAGTGAAAATATATACAAAACAAAAGCCATTAGACAAACCATTTGACAGACCCATCTGACAGCCAATTGACAACCATGCAGCAAGGGATTGACAAACCAATTGACATTAATTCGATAACTTGGTTGAAACACTCGACCAACCAATCTCCCCCCAAAAAAGCAAAAATAAACTTTTCTACATACTCGCCAACCGTTCACAAATAACACTTACTTTGCTGTCCTTGCTGTTGTTGTTGTTGTTGTTGTTGTTGCTGCAGCTGCAGCTGCAGCTGCTGTGCTTGTTGCCCTTTCTGGAACAAACCTCCACCCATTCCCATTCCCATTCCTCCTCCTAATCCTAATCCTCCAGTACCACCCATCCCAAAAGTTCCAGTAGTCCTATTCTGACCAAAACCGGATCCTACCCCAAACCCAGACTTGTTTCCAAATGCACCGGCGCCCCCAAAACCAAGTCCAGGTGTATTGAACGAAAAGGCCGAAGAGGCAGGAGCCAATCCACTCGATTGGGTTGGATTAAACGAAAAGGTCGTAGCTGCGGTTGTTTGACCAAACGCGGATGGGAACGCACTACCAGAAGCTGTGGATGTACTTGCGCCAAACCCGCCATATCCTCCAAATCCACCTGATAAGCCCGCTCCTACGCTTGCTGACGATCCACCGAATCCACCAAACCCTCCAAACGTCGGTGCACTTGTTGTTGCTGCTGCACCTCCATAACCTGTGAACGCGCTTTGAGTCTGCTGAGCCCCAAACATTCCTAGCGGCTGTTGTGATTGTTGATTAAATGTAAATGACGTTGTCGGCTTTGTATTTGTATTACCGTATCCTCCAAATCCACCAAAGGCTGGAGTCGTAGTTCGAGTTTGCCCGAACGCATTAAACGCGGGAGCCGCAGTCGTGTTCGCTTGAAACCCACCACCGAAACCATATGTACCCTGAGTCTGTGCTTGCTGTCCCTGTTGTCCCTGTAGTCCTCCAAACCCATATCCAGTTCCTTGAGTCTTACTACCCGCTCCAAACGCGCCCCCACCAAAGGTAGGTGCGGTCGATTGTCCAAAACCAAATCCCCCTTGCACGCCTCCCTGTCCGCCTTGACCAAATGCGCCAAAGGTTGGCTGTTGAGGTTGTTGGGCGCCAAAACTAAAGGATGATTGAGTCGAGGCGAAGCCAAATGTCGGCTGTTGGGATTGTGTTGATGAATTGAAGCCACCGAACGACGGAAAGGCCATTTTCTGCGTATATGTTAATTACTTATTTAAGTACAAGGCGATGGGGTGGATAATAGAATCAAGAAGAGGAAAGAGTGTTCGGAGGAAAGAGGTTTGAAAAGTAGATATTATTTACAGATTTCTATTGATTAAGGAAGCAGACAAAAGAGAGAGAATTCGTTGATCAGTGGCTTAGAAATGAGTAAAATTTCCTTGATGACGTAGCATTGTATGCCTAATTACCGTAATCTTGTACAATGGTCAATACGAGATATGCAAACCTGCAAACACTATCGCATGAATCGGATTTCGAGAATGTGAACAGTCAACATGCGGTACGACCGCAGCAAACCAATTTTGCGCAGCTCAATTTTTCGTTCACATTTATGGATGGATCAATAAAACTTATTGTTTGGTCAATGAAGAGGACCGGATTGTACTAACCGATGGACTGAATAAAATCTTCACGTGCTTAGCGAGTTAATTCCCGACCTCCACTTTTCCTGCAAAAGAAAAAGAAAGGGTAAAATAATCAAAATTAAAATTAAACTAAAATCAAAATAAAATAAATATAGTAATAGGTTTTATTTACTTAATAGAAGCGGGCAAAGCATATTGCGTATGCTTATTCTATTTTATTGGTCAAATGTTATTTACAGTCAATGAATTGTATCATATAAACATAAAATTTATCTCATGTAAACTCCAGGCTATAATACGTTTTGCGCCTTGCAATTGGGTGTTTTTTGGAAAAAATAGTATTAGCAAGTAGAGCAAAATGACACAAGTTTTCGCAGAGCTAATTGTTGCTACAAAGTTTGTGATAACGTGGAAAATGGTATAATTTTGTTTATCTACACGTCTGCGGGTATCAAAAGCGAAAACTAAAACTTTAATTAATTCTGTCAACCTGTACGCTAATATTACAACAAGGGAAATATATCGAGTAGAAACAAGAAAGCACCTTTGAAAATTATTCAACATGTTCGAAGCACTCACAAAACAAAAGTAAGTCTAAACCATTAATTACTTCTTTCTTATTAAGAATTCTCTTGTTAGAGTATATTATCCATATTATTTATTCAATTGCATAATGACCGCCAGCGTATAGAATAAGTATGTTGAAATGTTTAATCTAATTTTCTTTATCTTTAAGGATACATTTAAAACATGACCGTCAGATCAAAACTGTGATTTACGCATTTTGGTATTATTAAGTTTATTGGCTACTCAAAAAGATTTCTAACAAAGCCCAAGTTCAATAAATATGTGTTTACTCCTGAGCTAACCATTATGATTTATATAACTACACCCATCCGTAGTCAACCGTTGCCCGACAGTCACAGCCAGACTAAAAGTTACTTTTACGTATCTGGGCGACACATTTTAAAATTAAAAAATTAGCGAAATTTATAATTGTAATTTCTCTATACAATTTTTTGTTTGCTTTATTTAAAGTCAAATACTTCGCGTGCATTCCAATAACAAAGCATTAATAATAAACCGACAATTACTGTTAGAGTTATTGAGTTTTTGCCACCAGCTTCCTCGGTTTTCGTTGTAGTTGGCACAATTACTATCTTTATTCAAAGGACATTGAACTTACGCTTGATTTATAATTACACTTATTATAGAAAATGTTGTTATGGTCATGTAAAGGCGTCAAGTATATTGGTTATGCAAGTTAAAATTTTTTTGTATTAAGATATCAGCCATAAATTTTAATTACCATATTAATGTTGTGTCTGAGTTGGGACCTGTCTCAGTTCGGAACCCAGTCACTCAGTCTAGAACTCAGTTGTCTCAGTTCCAAACCCAGACACTGTTGTCTCAGTTCCACTGTTGTCTCAGTTCCAAACCCAGACACTCAGTCCAGAATTCAGTTGTCTCGGTCCAATTCGCTGTTACAATAAAGCATATTCATTTGTTTCTTCATTTTGCTTAGTATTACAGTCAGATTTTTTCTGTAATATTCTTATTTCCAAAATTAAAGAAACTGGCAGGAAAGAGACAATAAAAAAATTGTCTAGCATATAATATTCAGACAGTTGTTGGAAGTCATATTTAATAAACTAAATAGGTTATGTGCATGCACTAATACTGTAATAGAAATGTTAGCAAACTTGTTCAATTAGCAATAAACTGTTTAATCTATAATATAATAACACAAAATAATCTATTACTAATACTAAGTCAGATTGTGCAATATAGTTAAATTCTTGAGTTTTTCTTTAACTTTATATTACCAAATTATTCTTATTTAGCCATCGAATTTGTTCGACCATACAATGCACCACGGCAACAGTTAAAGTTTAAGGTTACCTATAATACACGAATTGCATATTGTATTTTAACGCGTTTACAGTAAAATAACTATTTATCGGTCTGTTCTATGATCCAAAAGCCTCGATAAATTTTTACGATCAGCGTTTTAGCAATATTTGCTTAAAGCGATAATTTATAATTTACATTGTTTAAGGCGTAAAAGTTTATGCGTAATTCTGTGGCACACATGACGTCGGTATAACTATAGCGAACTTCATTTCTAGCTTATGTGAGACTCGTCATTATTATTGTACGCTAAACATAAGTTATAATTATATTATGTCAAGTTAATAAGAGCATATTTAATTAATACACTTTGTCATATCTACGAATTAACAACTCTCTAAGAGGTAACAAATCAAGTCCCACTAAATTGTACAAATTTCAATTAATATTGAATTGACCGTATGAGAGAACGTTCAAAACTTACGCTTGATCGTTGCACGAAACTATAGACAATTTGTGCACTATTAGTGCGACATTAGATTAAATTATTTTCAAGTTCATTCATGTGATCACGATATTTACTTCAATCAAGTAGCGCCGGACAATCGTACAGTCAATTCCCATTGTCTGTAATAAATATAAAGATAGTCTAGACGTTGATTTGGAGGTCGCTTCATAAAATATCCGAGCGTACCGGACCAACGCACATCAGTTTATCCATTGTCTCACAAACTTGTGTTGTGTGTCCACATTTAGTTACCATGGTTCGAGTAATTAATTGTGAATATTAATATTAAAAAAATTGCCATACCTATTACCAAATTTATATAAAGCTTATTCCTAATGTTCACAGGACAGATGTAAGATTGATAATAAAATAAAACGCCACAATGTAACGGCACCATTCCGCCCTAGCCCAATAATTAGTATATAACATATAACTATTACAAAGGTTGTGATTATAAGAAACAGCGTAAGCTGACATCAATTCAGCCAACACTTTAGCGGCAATTATAAGTGGAATAAACTAGGTTTTCAATTATTTCGCCAACCTGCATAAGTACAACGTATCACTAATCAATAATGTGTCAAACTTAAATAAAATAAAATGCTAGGGGCCAAAGCTAGAATTGCTCATTTTATTTTAGTTAAAATTTTCGGGATAATCATAGCAGGACATGCTGGCTATAACAAGACGGCCACGCCACCGTAAACAGGTAGATGTTAATTAGCAATTTCACAGAATGCCAATTTATATTCATTCACTTTGTGTGTGTTGTATTTTGACGATAAAAGCTTGACCGTAAGATTTATATATACACAGTCAGCCTCGATAAGCCGGTTTATCGAGACCCACGTGATGAAAGATATTTAGTTAACCAATTTTATTATTGTACATGATACTGCTCTAATCATATAATTATAATGTAGTGACATGTATCTTGGATTAATCAGTGCTTTGAGTGATTTAAACGAAAATAAATTTGACAAAACCGTGTCACATATTACAAAAATCACGTGGACCGGCTTATCGAGAATTTTAAAAAAAAATTTTTTGGCCTTAAGCCGAAACCGGCTTATCGAGGCTGACTGTGTAATACCAAATATTGTCGATCATATACAAATCATACATTACATAATAATCCTAACTCAAAACCTGGCCTGAGCAAGAACCAAATTTGGCACATGATTACCGAAACAGGTTTATGACAGAAAGAAATCTTAGAAGGTAGTACTTTTATATATTGCCAACTTTGAATTATCTATATTAGAGCTAAAATTTCTTATCTTCGAGACCCCCCCTGCATTTTGTCAATAAATTTCCGTTTGGGACTGTCTGTTTTGTATCACAGAATAAAACGTGGAAGTTCTTTGTCTCCATTTTCACTTTGGAAGCCAAGATTTTATTGAATGCAGGCAATCGGAAATTATAAATAAATGACAATCTCTTCCGGCAACCAAACCAATGGGAACTTCGAACTTTGTGAAAGATCATAGACTCTTTAAGTAAAAGTGCGGATGGTAAACTGCTATTATTTGATCGTATTTCCTCGAGGATGATATAATCGTTTGCATGCCTTAAGATAAAGCATGCATCGTCGATGAAGGAACCGAACCAACAGCTGATAATTCTTTCGTTCAGCAAAACTTAGTTTATTTAATTTCCAAACTGTGCTATATATAATGGGACTTGCATCATCCCACATTTTATGTCGTACAGCATATCCTATATATAGTCCTTTTTACTCTATATAGGAATTATACTGTGCGACGTTAAAACCATTGATTTCTTGCGAAAACCAATCAAAAAGCTAATTATGTAAATTAGGTTAATTTCCGTCCTTGCAACACATATAAAGATGCAGGCGGCTCAATAAAGCAATCGCTTGCCATTTGGGGAAAAAATGAGTTCGTTTCATCGAGATTTAGCATTCTAAATTCCATCGCTAAAGCAAAGTTACCAAAACCACCATACAAACAATTCTTTTATACATATTACGTTGGAGGACTGTTATCCAAAGATCAAAGTAGTCATCATAATTAATTTTCATAGTATAATTTTTAACATCTGTTCCACAGATTAAACGCAAAAAACGAATAATTCCAAAAAGGGTGTCTGGGCCAATCAAAAAATTTTCTCACTTGACTGTGACAATTAATCTATAATGTTGGACAGAAAAGGCATTGTCAATAATAATCAAAATAGGGGGAACGCTTAATTTTCTTTCACTGGTTCTCGATTTACATTA